TAAATATTGATATTAGTTCGCGTTGAGCATCCATTTGGCGTGCACTTTGATGCAAACAGGTTCTCTCCATAGGGATAATGATTTTTCTTAACTAGCAACAAAGTATAATTATTCTTGAACTAATAAGTTAGATTTTTTTATTCCATCATACTTCCTGTTGATTTTTCTACACACCCATGTAATTTCACGCTTCCAAGTCTTAAAGTTTTAGCGGAGCAAAATAAAATACAATGTTAAGTTTAATCCCTATAACAACTGGCGCTGGTTTATTTTTTTTCCTCTCTTTTTAAATATTGAGAGAAAGGTTTAATAAGCCTTAAAGAATAAATCTCTACAAAATTCTCTAATTAAAATTTGTTTTTGATGTACATAAACATTTTGCCAACGTTTCAAAAAGCGAGCATAGCTTTTCCGAACTTTCTTTCGTTCTAAGAACAATTAAAACTAAATACCGTAATTGTCGTCAAGTAATTTCTTGACGATATTACTCATTTTCAAAACTAGATCACCTAAACTTCATGTCAACAGCAGGTGCCATTGTCCGACAACTACAAAAGACGTCGCTCTGATTTTCCCTACCCACAAATGATGCGTATCCGGGCAGAAAATTTGGGAGTCAATTGGGAGAAAATATGTCGCCAATTGAGGATGTTTTAGTGATTGTTATTTTTGGCAGTTAAGAACGGATGCAACCCAACCGGTCGCATTAATTATTCATCACCTGCTGGCTATTTGTCCTACATGACAGGCATAGTAAGATAAATAGTTTAGAATTCCTACAGAGTTTTGGATATTTGAAATGCCAACTGTTTTCACATGTAAAATGTATTCATAATGAAAACACGACCACAGTTGATTATGTTTTCAAATGAAATGACCTCAGAATTCCGCGATATGAAGTGTATAAACTGAATGAAATAGCTAGTTTTACCCGCGTTTTATAAAATTCACTGAACAGGTTAGTTTATAGAAGAATTGAATAGTTAGGGTGAAAAATTGTTTTTGATGTACATAAGTTAAGGTATAAGATAACTACATTAAAAAAAAAAATAGTATGTTAGTTTTATAATACAGTGCATTAATATAAACGTTACCGCTAAAGCTCGAAGGCCGTTACCAGTGCACATTACCCAGTTAATCAGCAAATTAATTAGGATGATCCGTTAAAGTGCGGAATAAAGAGTTTTTCGCAATTTGCCTAAGAAATATGCGTATTAACGGTTTCCTTATCGAAAAAAAGATTGCTTCTTTTCATTCTATTCACTATTTTGATGATTATTTGACGATTCTTTTGACACCAAAAAATGAATAAATGACATCATGTCGATCTTTTAATTAAAATAATATTTTAAATCATTTGATTCTTTGCATTATAGTATTTAAAGTGATTGATTCGATAAACTAATATGTTGATTGTTTGATTACAGCAACTTGATTTTTTTCCCTTTTAGATAGCAAAAAAAAATTTATAATGTTAATTTAGGCACGTAGACACGTTTCGTTGCTGTTGTTTCAACATTGATCTCATATTCACTGTAACGAGCAGGTAATATGCAAATTACCAAAATAATTTGAGAAATCAAACACTTTCTGGGCACTTTAATGGTTCACCGTAGATAGTATATACATTAGCTAGTTAAACTGTAAAAATAACTGATTTCTATACTTTAGCTGTAATATAAAGACCCGAACACACATTGCTTTCCCCACAAAACCTACATTTTTAAGACATAAATATCTTCTAGAAATATCATTCTTTAAAATGTTCAATACTCTTTGCATTTGATTTTTACTTTTATCCAAAATTAAGGTAAATATTTTAACCTTACCTCAGTTTAGAAATTAAATGACTTCTTCACATATATGTTTTCTTTAACTAATCTATTGTATCTAAAAATAACCTGCAGTTTTAAAAGGTTGCAAAATATTTTAAATTTTATGTTATTCAGTTATTATTTCTTGATATAAAAATTATTTTAAAATTCTTTCTAAGGCTGGTTACAATGTGACTAAAAATGTTAACTTCTTATCTTTAAAAGTTCTTCGCTTTTTCCAAAATTAATAGAGATATCTATAAGCTGACGTCACAATTCACTTACCTGTCTACTGGAAACCCTTTAATGATCAAACAGTTACAGATGTAACCAATATGAATACATTTCTATTGGGATACAAATCGTCCGATAGAAATAGTGCAAACGGAAACTGATTGAATGATACAGGAACGCTGATCTAGTTCAGTCTCTGACTTGGACATCTCTAAATGATTTGCATTTCTTCTCTCATGCCTTTCTATTACACTGACACTTTTTTGGAAATTTGTGACAGCTCAGTTTACTTACGCCCTTTCTAAATTCGTAGTTGCACTGCCAACTTGCGTACTTTGTAAATTTATCGTTGCTCAGTTTCGGAATCTGTGACTACTTGTTGTTGGTGGACTTTCTTTCTAATTTTTCAGTTGCACTTTCTACTTGTACCCTTTCTAAATTTGTGGTTGAATGCACTGTCTACTTACTCTCGTTCTAAATTTGTGGTTGTTTTGTATACTTACGTCTTTTTTACATTTGTAGTTGCTCTCTTTTCTGACACTTCTAAATTTGTGGTTACTCAGTTTACTTGCGTCTTTTCTAAATATGTGGTTGCACTGTTCATACACTCTTTTTTAATTTGTGGTCGCCTTGTTTACTTGCGTCTTCTCTTAATTTTAAGTTACACTGTTAACTTACGCCCTATCTAAAATTGAGGTTGCCTTGTCTACTTACGTTCTGTTTCCAAATACACCTCATACATTGCGACCTTCAAGCTCAAAGATTTTTAAAAAAGTATTCAACTGTAAATAATTCTTGGTTTGATCATCGGATAACCTTAAAGTAGTTTATCAATGTTTACATTTCAATTTTAAAATTTGCTTAGCTAAAACGTAAAAATACAACTTATATTGTTTAATACCACTCAATTCCAATGCTCACAAGTGACCGCCACAACCACACACTCAGGGCGTTTAATTACTTAATTAGTTCAAAATTTCGGACTTAATGTTATTCCAATTGTTTTGAACTTTCACATGACTTCGGCTTATGGTTTTCTATCCCATATAGAGCAAGATCATCCTGTGGATGTCTACTAGACGTCTTCACAAACATCCACGAAGGTACATGTGGTCACCCGGAAGACGTCCACAAGATTTCACGGATTTTTCTTCTCATTATCATAAGGAACAACTTGTACGCATACTTATCTCTGGCTACGTCTATGGTTTCCAACGCACGTAATTTAGTCTCTAACAAATCATAGAGCCCTCTCAGCAATTTTTTCAAAGGACAAGAGAAAGTATGTCTCTGGCATGAGCTTAAATCAGTAATTCCCCTCTTCCAATTCAACTTTTAGGTTAACCTATAGCTTTTTCATAGCTGTCTCCAACTGGAGGAAAACTTTTAAACAACTCCTCGGCAATCCTTCTTTTCACCATCGCTTGTGATAGATACGAAATTTTGTCATGAATTTCCAAATTGGGATATTTATCAATTTTTGAAATTGTCCCCCAAAACCAAACCAGTTTCTAATATCTCCATTAAAAACGGAAAGTTGATAGGATAACGTAAGAACTTATTTCTTGACAAATCATTCTCACCAAATACAGAATCTTCTTTTTCAGAACTTACAAATTTTTAAAAGTTTTTGTTCTAAAAGAAGCCCCCGATCAGTATATGTTTCGAATCATCAAATTCAACATCGAATGTTGCTTGATCTAAAGCCCTGCATAGAATAAGTAGAGACACACCGACATTTTGGTGACTGCAACTTTCTTGTAACCGCAACTCTCAATGTAACAGTTTCGGAGTTTCTATTCTGAAATGCCACTTTTTGTTGATCAATATTTTTATATTCTTGAAGATAACTTAAATATTTACTATTTATTCTTTTGATTCTTTTTTTTTCCTCTCTGAAATTATGTTTTATTTTTGTTTTATTCAGTAAAAATAATAGCTTATTTATAAGTTAAAACTTTCTCATTTCGTTTTTCATAATCTTCTATAACTTTTTCTAAACTCTTTGAAATTTTTTAAAATCGTTTCTTTATGAGGTTCAAAGGGTGGTATGATGTGGGATTTAAATCATTATGGACATTATTATCAGTGTTCGAAGAAACAGTTTTTCCCCAATAGTTCAAATCTTTTTGTTCTAAATCAATACCAATTGTTATTTGGTCCTTTATAATAAACAACTGCTGAAACTTTAAATACAATTAATTAAATTTAAAATGAAATCTCAGTTAAAATTTTAGGTGTAAATCATAACATCAAAATCGAAAGATATTTTAAAATTTCTGTTTAACTTTTAAAATACTAAATTAAATAATAATGCGTTTGTCAATTAAAATGAATAGCATCAAAATATTCAGAAAAAAATCCTTTTTTCAAAACACAATAATTTTGTCTTTAACTATATTATCTCATCATCTTACCGATATTACAAAAATAAGAGATATTTATTTAATTTATTAGATTTATTATGATTGAGATATATTATTTGAGTATTTGTAATATCTTATGGTAAAAATTTTATTTTAATAAATAATTCTCGATATTTCAAAAAAAAAAAAAAAAATAATAATAATTTTATCAATTGGATAAAGATAAACAATCACACTGTGAGGTATGCAAAATTAAAAAATAAATATATATATTACTGACAATCAATCTGCAGTTAACTCTCTGCAGAAAGAAACGCATGGTATTTTTTTCCGCAAGTTTAACAATTAAAATTCTTGTAAGTAAACTTTTTAGTAGTTAAATCAGTCCTTTTTGATACAAGTTTTTTTCTTCTTTTTAAGTGGATAAGTTGATGTTTTTCAAGGTGATTTTGCTACAACGATGATTAAAAATTCTGTCATTAAACGTGCAAAAGAAAATATACATGTATCAAAGCTATACTTTAGTTAATGCCTTAGTAAACGCTTTTTTTTTTATAAATTTTAATCATCTTTTGTTCTTTTTCAGGGAATAGAAGGAAGAAATTATGGAATACACCAAAGGCAACCAAATTATCTCCCGACTTACAACGGAATTTTCAGCATACATGCTCTCAACTTTACAACTTCAGCATTTGACAAATCCGAAAACAATCTGCAAGTGGATGGCCAGGACACAACAATAACCACTTCTGCTTCAAACACCACATCTGAACAGCTTCAAGACAGCAACGAATCCCTCTCCTTGTTATCTAATCCCGAAACAAAACAGTCGCAGGACTTGCTAAACCAGGATATTGATGGTTCAGACATCAACGAACTAGATTCTGACAAAGAACAGGATGATGATCCAACCTTTCCTCAAATCCAAGTAATTACGAAAACCATAACGGATGAAACGTTTTCAAAAAGTTCCACAGCCAACACAGGTGGTACTACTCAGAAGCTTGGTCCAGTTGTCCGAACTGAAACCACATCAACTACTGTACCATCCACAGAAGACGTTTTCAAGTTTGTGACTTTTAACAATAGCGAGACCCTTTTGTCTGGCCAAGGTAATGACCCAGTTGAAACTGATGGTGCACAAGAGGATATTTTTGACAACCTGATGAAACGAATACAGAGCCATTGGTTGGAATTTGTCGGCAAAATGAAACTAAGCGTTCTGGATGTATGGAAATCCATCTCTCAACACATGATGGAAAGATTGGAATCCTTTGCATCAGCGCTTTAAAAGGAATGTCGGAAACCCATATTCTTGTTAATTATAGATCCTAGTTTGTGATACATATTATAAAATGGCTATTCATTGTTGCCGCTTATATTTTAGGTTACATAATTTAACGAATCGATAGAATACTATTGCTTTTTGAGGGTATGATATGTGAAGATAATTAATTAGCGTTCAGCTATTTTTGCTTTTGGGTTTCTAAAATAAAATTTTTAAAAAAATAACTCATACAAATTGTAAACAAATATGTAATTTTTATGTGTGTTAATTATCTAAAATGCAAAGGATGCCGTTTTGTATCTCAATTTCTATGCAGTTATATAATTGTATTACACACACTTCATTAATACAAAATTGCTACGTAGGATACGATATAAAGGTAATGTTAACAACTCTGTTCCACCAAATGTTTACAGCGCATTGCTGCGGTAAAAAGTTGAACTACTAGTTAGATGATGAATTTATCGCTTTCTATTAAAATTTTCAATTGAATTTATAAAACTCTTTTTAACCGTTTGGTTATTTGTATAATTTTAAATCTATCGAATTCTTAGAAGTTTTTTCTCTGAGGGTTTCAAGTGTTAACGAAGACAATTTGTCTTAGCACCATAAGTAAATTGTGATGTGATTTAAATATTTTAATTTTTCTCTATTTTCCGAGTTCCTAAATTTATTTCTATGTTGAATAAAATACCTATTTACATAATTCTTGCCTATAATCTAATAAATCCAATCTAACAAAACTCTAACTATCATTACAAAAAGATTCAGAATCATTACAGCTATCATTGTAAATCATTACAGCTATCATTACAGAAGATTCAGTGTACCAAAATAGTTTATCCTTATTACAGGTAATAATATCTTTTTGTGTTATTAAATATACGATACATGATTCGAAACATTATTCAATACAACACAATTATTATTATTAGAAATCGGATCACTATAAAGCAATTGATAAAATAGCATCTATCCTCCAATATGCATCTTTCACACAATCTATCATATTTCTTAAGGATAAAAAAGTAGACATAAGCTGCTTTTTTTATTTGATTTGTATACTTGTTTTAATAGACTCGGTCTATTATTCATTATTATTATTAGAGTTGTAATATGTAATTATGAATCCATCAAAATCAATGAATTTATGTCATTGTTATGAGAGCCGTATGAGATTAAAGTGGTTTCGCAAAGATGAAAATCTAAATAAATTCATTTAATTTCTACTTTTGTTACAATGGCGAACTTGAAAAAAGAAGACATACAAATATAAATTACATAGGATTCTGTTGAAGAAAACATAAAATAAAAAAAAAGTATTATGACTCAACTTTAGCTACAAAGCATTTACATTTATTAAATTCCAATTCTGAAACTTTTGTTAGCAAATTTTATTATTTATAAGTTTTATTATTTTTTTAAAAAAAACATATGTTTTAATAATCGAACTTTATATTATCTTAAAATGAAGGTATCATAAACTTTATACAACAAAATCTCTTTTTAAACAAAGATAAATTAATAAAGAGTTTCCGTTCTAATCCTAAAGTGTGTAAACAGACAACGCATTATTTAAGTGCAGCACTGTTCCACCAAATGTGTACAGCGCCCGGCTGTGGATACAAGTTTAACTACTAGTTGAAGGATTAATTTATCGTTTTCTTTTAATTTTAATTAATATTTAAAATTCTTCTTAATCGCTTGGCTATTTGATTAATTTTAAATATATAAAATGCCTAGATGATTTCTTATAATAAAGAGAAATAACAGTTTGTCTTGGCACTTGAAGTACATAAATTACAATGTGATTTAAATAATTTAATTTTATCTATTTTACTTGTTCCTAAATATATTTTTACGTTTAATAAAATACATATTTACATAATTGAAGTGCACGGTTAATCATTTCAAGCAAGTAGAAGAAAAATGTTATTGCTTATAGCTATTATTTGAATAGTTTTCTATAAATTATCAATTTAGATTTTTTCTTTTCTGAATTCTGTAGAATTTATCATATAAGTGAACAAAATAGACAGGAGTAAATTAAAACATGACAAGAAATATGATTTACAAATAATAAAACTAGAATCTAAGATAAAAGATTTGAAATTGATTAGAAAATATTATGTTTTTACACAGATGTCCAATATAAAAATAAAAAAAATTCAAAACGCTAACAGAGTTTGCACATGCCTGGAAAAATTCGAAAATTGATACGAAAATAGTTTTTTTTTTTTTTATGTTTGTAACTACGAGATTATTTTAATAACTCTAAGTAATCTAGATTATATGACTTAAGATTTTAATTTTTAATTCTTAAACGAAAGCTAATACTTACAAATTTCTGACTTCATTAAAACAACATTGATGTCAGTTTTAAATTTTTTGCAGCTGCGTAACGAACTTTGACTATCATAAAATTACGCTATTATATCTTGATTCAATAATTGTCATTAAAATAAAGCTTACACTTACATTTAGACCTACATAATTGTAACATGTTTGCTCAATACAAAAAAAAATGTCTTATAAGCCCAAAAAAAGGCATGATTTATAGAATAACAGAAATAAGAGAAGGGAAGTACAAAAACATATCTAAGGTAACATTTCGAACCCGTCACCGCCAAGCTCCGTAGTACGGAGTTACATTTGGACAAAAAATAAATAGAAGCAAACAAAAATATGACCGAGACGCTAAATTATAAGTTGATCAGGGTCAACTCTTCAAATCTACATCTACTGAACTAATCGCTTTGTTTTATAGTTGCCCCCCCCCCTCCAAGAAAAAAGTAGAAAGAAAGGAAAATAAGTATTATTCGTTACTCGACGAAAAGTTAATATTTCTGTATCGTGATCTGTCACGCCAACTACAATCGCCAAGGTGCCAAATAGATTTCAAATTTGCAATAAAAAAAAAAAAAAACATGTAGGTGTTTGCCCGGGGGTGGCTACGAGTTATACCTTTCGAGTTGGTCCCTTTCTGTGATGTTTTTTTCAGTTTCTTGCAGGCTACTGCCCGGAAGTTTCCAAGACTTGGCGATTATTCTGCCACAGGATACGGAAATCTCCAACTAATCAAAGCTAACCCATACAGCAAATTTCGTCCTAAA